CTCTCTCTCTCTCTCTCGCATCAGTAGTAGCGGTGCCACTTTTGGGCGACCGCTGTCGTTTGTGCTGACGATCGACTTAAATGGAGAACTAAACACGGTAAACGGACTTTCTCTCTCTCTCTCTCTCTCTCTCGCTCTCGCTCTTTCTCGTTCTTTCTCTCTCGGTCGAACGCGAGATTGTAGGGCGTGAAATGCGGGACTCCGATATATCGGGATTGATAGCGTTCAAGCGCGACACGACGAATAATGTTCGCGATCCGCAACGGATTTTCGCGTGACACACCAAAGTCGGCCGATACAAACGACTTTGGCGATCTTCGTGTGGCTCGTGTGTGTCACCTGCGGGGCGACACACACAGCAGCCTGTGTGGATCGTCCGTGGACGGGGTGAATGTATAAAAAAATCGACGTGGCGCGCGCTGCCGCACGTTACGATAATCCAACGTACGCCGCCCTCCGCCCGAGAGCCGATCATATATTTGAGAGCGCGAGTGTGTGTACCGTCTGCATTTTCCTTCAAGATCTCTATTATCCCCCCGCTCGTGTATATTCTTATTACCGATAAAAATACCGCCTTCCCGCGTGATATTTGCGGCGTATTATTAATTGACCCATGCGAGACAGGTTATCGGCTGACGGCCGAGCGAATGAGAGCTGCTTAATTAAGCACCTAGCCGAGAAGTACTCACGAATTCCGTCCTGTAGATTGGGAATTATCTTCTCTAAGTCACACGAAAAGACGATTTCTCTCCCTGACTCCGGAAGCTCGAAGCTTGGCGTGCTCCGCTCCGAGGAAAGCGAGAGGAAGGAAAAGAGACTCGATTCGAAGAAGAGACCTATGAATTGTACCTTCCTTTCGGGATCTACTTTCAACGAAGCCGCGTTCTGATCCAGTCGAGATGAATCTCACCAGATGGAATTTACGTCTAACATACTTGCGACAACGGGAGAAACGGGCGACGAAGGAACGGCCCTATGGTGGGATGAAACACTCACTTTCTTCGGGGTGCTTGACGGTGGAGAAGCAGCCATCCGCCGACAGGTACAGCAGTAACGCGCCGTTGGCCGGCAGCTCCTTGAAGCCACTCGCGAGGAACACTTGCACCTGGCTGTAGGTCGGCTTGAACAGCAGGTACTTGTGCGGATTGTCGCGTCTCGGCGCACCGTTCTCCGGCCCGGGGTACGGCCCGGGTCGGAAGGGCATTCGGCCCGCCGGCGAGGCGTCGTGCAGGTGATTCGGGTCGTCCCTGGGCTCCCGCTCGAGTGTCTGCAGCATCCTGAACATGTCCATCGACAACTCACTGAACTTCACCTGGTCGGCGCAATTGCCGACGATCAGGATCTCCTGGAGAGATAGGCACATGGGTGGCGATCGTTCGACGGGCGGCGAGGTCTGCGGACCGAGCCTGTGGGTCAGCACGATGGGGTTGGAGTCGGAGTGCAGCACGCCGACCGCGGACTCGGCCTTCACGAAGGCCTTGATCTCGTCGAGCACGAGGTTCCACTCGAGCTGATCGTCCGGCTCGTACGTGCTGGTGTAATCGGCAATCTGGGTGTCGAGCTCCTGCACGAGCTCCCGCACGAGCTTCATGCGGTTCAGCAGCAGGCAGACGACGATGAAGCGGGCGTAGTACCTGAGCTTCTTCACCATCAGGTCGCTCCTGTCCTCCTTGGCGGCGCGGCTGTAGTAGGCGCGGCCGCGTATCGCCGCGTAGAACGAGTAGGCCTCGTGCAGGTAGCTCGTCTCGCTGGTGCGCAGGTAGTAGTGGTAGTAGAGCTGGCCGATTTTGCTCGCGATCTCGCCGATCTGCCATCTCTTGAGGCCGTACTTCGTGTCCAGTATCATTCTGCGAACAGGCGGGGGCGCACGTGAGAGCGCGCACGTGTTTTGCGTACGCGCGCGGATCGCTCTGTGTGTTATTTCGCGCGAGAACCTCAATGAACGGGGCCGCAGCGGGAGAACGCGAGATTCCCTCCGTTTGCGTCTCACGCGATACTTCGTTTCATATGATATTCACGCACGTATTCAGCTTATTCTCGTTCGTGCAATTACATGTAATTCTACGCGGGGGAAAAAGTGTTGAATCAATAAAATTCCCAACGGCAGCGTAATTGGAGTAAGCCTTCTTATTGAACGGCAAATATGTGTGTATTGTTTCAATAATTAAAATATTTGTTTGATATTAGATATCGCTATTGAATCAAGAAGATTTACTCCAATTACGCGTGCCGTTGAAAATTTTATTGATTTAACACAGCATTTTTTCCGTGTAATTCCTAAATATATCCCATGATTTCGAAATTTCTCAGGGTGAAATGTCACTCGGGACGAAGAAAAATTCACTCGAGGCGAAGATGCTGTCACTCGGAATCGCAAGAGTGGGTGAGATTTTGACGAATACATCTCGCAAATATTTTGTGGAAAAGTTTTGCGAATGAAAATCGCGAAGAGGCGAATAGCTAGGGTGAATTATTCATCCGTACGAGTGGATATTTCAGTCGATTGGAGTGAATTTGTTCTAACGACAGTGGAGTATGTCAGATTCAATGACAAACTTATATTTACTCATTTACATCGATTCTGTAGGTCTACTAACCAAGGAGAGAGCAGGCCTATAAGATACAAAGGCCTATAAGAGCCTAATCGCGGCTGTTGCGGCGATATATATTACTTTTAATTTTGTTTGAAGAAGATATAACAGATTCGACGATTATCGAACGAAGGTTTAATACACGCGACTGACAAGTATCTTCCCTCAAGTAATATTAATATTAATTATATTAATATATTAAAACCGCACTAGAACACCCGTACTTACACTCTTATAGGCCCAATTAAGTGACCTTCTATGGTTCCATAACAGATTTACTCTTCAATTTCGAGTGAAAATACTATTCGACGATTCAGAGGGAAAGGAATCCGCACTCGACACAAGTGAACAGCCATTCTGGCTCGAACGACTCGGCTGTCGTTCCTGCCTTCCGAGTGGAATTTCACGAGGAAAAAATGCAAGAGAACAAAGCACAGCGTTGAAATGAAAGACACGAGCAATACTTCTGCATACACTGGCGCGCTTCGGGAAACGCGCGGAAATGAACTGTACGGGTTATTAATCAACGTGTAGAAGCTGAGAAACGAGGTCTTCGATCGTTCTAATTGCATCTCGTGGGATCGCGGCTGGTTACAAAGTCCGGAGCGCGACGCACGAGGACACGGTGGTCACGTGGGCCTCGTCTCACACACGGACCGTTAATTCGTCATTGCTGTTGGACTTGTCGCGTTGGAGAACACTATGACATCCGCGAAACGTGATCAGGCCGCGCTGCGGCATTCGCGCATAACGTTCGCGTGCCATGATATCGTAGCTCACATCAAGAAGCTGGGAAGGACAGCGTGCGATATTTCTCCACGATAGTCACGATTTTGCGGCATGCCGAACACCGCCGTTGTCAGACCGCGAATCAAGAACGATTGATCTCCCGCTCGACTCCGGAGAAAGGAAAAGAAAAAGAGATCGCGGACACGAACATGGAGGGCGTCGGAGAGATCGACGGAAATCGCTGAATCATACGCGAACCGAAGTCGAATCTGCGCCAAGTCGAATCCCCTCGCACTCTCAAATACTCGGGGAACACCCTCGTGGATCCCTTATCATCGAACCATTGTACCTTTCGAGGGCGTCTTTCGAATCCGGAGAAACTTGATGCGAAAAATCGCTACCAGGTGTGCTTCAAGATGGTATCAAGGAAACCTCGCTACAGAATTATCTCCCCTCTTCTCCTCCCACCCTCTTTCTCTCTCTCTCTTTCACCCCCGTAGACACACGCACACATATACACACGATCTCTCACACTCGCTCTTTCGCCTTTTTTCTCCCTATTTCCCCTTGTCTTCCGTCCTCTTTCCCTCTTTCAGTCTCACCTGTGCTGTTGCTGGAACTTCCAGAGCTTCGTGTAAACGTCGAAGGTCCGCCCGAAGTAACCCTGCCACTGCTTGTGCCCGTACTGCGGCAGGTCGCGTAACCCGTTGAACAGCTGCTTGCTCTTCTCGAGCAGGTGGCAGAACTCCAGGACGACTTTGCGCTCGTGGTCGTCCATACCAGCCATCATGACCATCTTTTCGGCGAGTCGAGACCGCGGCCGCTGGCTGGACGCCCTTCTCGACGACACGGTCGCGGCGGTGGCCCCGCGTGATGGCGCCTACCGATTCCGCCACCCTTTTGCACGGCGACTACGACGACGGCGACCACGGTGACCAATCAATACTCTTTCCCACCCCGCATCAGAGGGCGCATTTTGTGCGCCACCGCCGCTGCCGCCTCCACCGCCGACGCCGACGCCAGCTAGACGCAGCGACGACGGCCGGGGACATCTGTGCGAATGGCAGGGTGACTTCGGGACACCCTCGTGGAAATCGATATCTTGGCTCTTGAGGGTAAGACCGATCCCCCGCAGTGCAGGCGAATATCTAACTCAATTGTGTAACGTTTTGTTCATTTATCTATTCCATGTTCATTTATCCGTTTCTCCCTGGCGTGATCTTACATCCAGATTGTAAGATGCGATATCTCAGTGCGAAGTATTAACTTCTCGCAACCCAAATTAACCAGCTTCAGATATTGTCATCATCTTCGCTGTGCAACGCGTTTACAGTTTAAGATTGAAAGTCGGTCGTTCGAGCAAAGATGAGCTGCGCAGTGGAAGACTCATTGCTTAGCTCAGACGTGTGTTGCTATATCGAATTTGAGCTTTTCGATGGTTTAATGGAAACATTAATTCTGTACTTTCTTCGTTGTAGAAACCAGGCTTTAAAATGAACGCCTTGAGTTTATAATAATTAAGACTTTAAATGCAGTTCTAATATAAGCGATATCTAATAAAATTCAAAAGTATACATATTTGTAAGATAAATAGAAATTAGATATGATATATTAGATAATGTGAATTTGAAGCTGTGAAAAACTTGGTCTCACACGCACGGGTTTGCCTGAATTGTCAGTAGATAAAGCCCGCGTGAAGCTCCAATTATCCCGTCCCGCTGAAGTCGATAAATTTCTACTCCACGGTAACGCCTCATACCGCGGGTAACTGGTTAAGGATTGGTCTTGTCGCTCGGTCGGTCTGAATTTACCCTTGTCCCGTTGTTACAGTTTTGCTGACACGTATCCAGAATAATTACGGCGCTGATACATGCTGGATAACAAGCATAACTAATGGAAGAAATATGATGCGCGAATGCTGCAAGAATACCGTTAACCGTGAAGAAGCTAAAGAGGGCCGAAGAGTCGCAGCTATGTTCAGCAACAAAAGTGATCACGCGCCTGACACTTCTTTGTACAAAAAAAAATGACATAACAGCAACAGCCGTTTTTTTTTTTTTACCAAACCGATGAAAAATCTACCCGAAATTAATCGATTTTGCGGATACTCTCTATCATCGATTCGAGTTCCCGAAGATTCTCTCGAATACGCCGCCAACTCTCATCGCACTCGCTCCGATTCGGACTCCTAACAAGACCTGTCCGTTTCTCTTTCGTTGTAATTAAAATTTCCAAGCGAAAAAGGGATAACGCCACGTTGGCGAACGGGACACAGCGGTGGCGGCGGCGGCTGCGACGGGGGTGGCGACGGGGGTTGCGAGGGTACGCTCGACACTTTCGTCGCCGCGGCTCGTTACGGCGACGGCAACGACGGTGGGAGTTTTACCGCCCCGCTGGTCGACTACTGCCGTCGGCGGAGATTAATTAACTAGATAACGGTCGGTGGCTGGGAAAGAGGGCGAAAAGAGAGAGAGAGAGAGAGAGAGAAAGTGAGATAGAGAGCGTTTGCGCGCGACAGAGAGGGAAAGGGTAAAAACAGCGAGAGAAAGAGAGATAAAGCGAGAGAGCGACGAATGAGAGGAACGTGCCAGAGACGGAAAACATCGCGGGGCGGAGGACGAAGAGGAGGAAGAGGGTGACGGTGGACAACCATGGGCCGACCATGGGAGTCCCCCGTTGACGAACCATGGAGGTCCACCGGGGGGAGGGAGGGGGACAGCGGCGGTGGTGGGCCACGGGAGTTTCCAGAGGGCCGGACGGTATAGAGTCCGGAGTATATCGACTGTGTCGCCTCATCTACAAGTCAATCAGGCTCGCGTGCCAGCGGCTCGTGAGGCCGGCTGGTACACGTAAGTAAGTAGCCAGCCTGATGGGCACCTACACGCATCCCCCTGCTTTTGCCGGGTTGTATGGTGGCCGCACGCCTAATACGCGAGGCGCTACCGTCGTCGACACGGGCACCTTTGCCCGCCGGTCGGCTGGGTATGCAAGTATAATGCGCTGGCGCATATATAAATGCTTATGGTAATCCGCGCGCGGTCGGCTTGTTTCGATGCTGGCCGGATGTCTGCTAGATAGAGCCCGTACCGTATCGCCTATTGCTATCGGTACGTATGCCACTGCCGTAACGCGCTACCGATATTTCCTTGCGATGTATCGCGTTAACGGAGCCGCGTCCCGCGCGAAATAGTCCCGGATAATCCGGGAAAATATCCTCGGCAAGGTAGAGGACGATCTTCGGGATCTTCACGTCGTGGAAATACCTCGTCTCCCGATTGCGCCTTCGCTCTTCGGTCTGAATTATTTCCCCGTCATGAGAGATACGTTCGGGTACACGTTTCTCCGAGGTATATTTATTGATCAGTCGGACACAGAAGAATCCTGTGCCGATGCCTTAGATCGTCCGAAAGGCTCGACTCCGCGAGAATTCGCGGAATTTATCGATCAAGGTGAAGTCGAGCGCGTCCCGATGAGTCAGCTTGCGGTCGATGGGCCAGAATCACGGTCGAACTTATGGTCCGCGGTGTCGACACGGTTCGAATCATGACTCGGCTCAAACGGTAGCAGCCGGCCGGCTGTATAGCCTGTCTACGTATAGACGAGTGATCAAATCGGGTCGTTAACTGATATTAATAGCAGGGCGCGGTGAGCCGGGTGGAGACTGTCTTCCTTCCTCTCTGTCTCTCCCTCGTTCTTTCTCTCGCTTTCTCTCTTACTCTTTCGCGCTCCTCTATACCCCGCATCGATGCGCGCTCGAGCGGCCCTTGCCCTAATTGCAACAAATTAAATCAGGCGGTATCGGCGATTCCCTCGGGTTAAATTTACGCGCGTTACGTACGCGAAGCGTGCCGCGGTCGCATTGTAAGCGCCTTTTCACCGCTGCGGCCGCCCCGTGCGCGTTGCCACCTTAATTGGCAGCGGCTTTTATGGCCGACGGTACGGACGATTTGATTTGTTGGACTCGGGGAAAAAAAAGAGAGAGAAATCGACCGATTGATCGCAGCGGAGCGGATGCGTGATCGCGCGTACGCCGCGCTCGGCTGGTGGCCGTTCGGCTCGCCGCGCGAATATCGTCGTCAACGCGCTGAATTTCCGCACGCGAGGACGAAAGGCATTTTTAAGCATGCGAATAAATTCGCATTCTTTTTAATGTGTCGCTTTAACCTGTTGAATGCGTTGTATTCGTGACAAACGGTGATTACATTTGCGGCTCTCTCTCTTCCCCTCTCTCTTTCTCTCCCTCCTGAATTACATTCATTTTTTTCCGTTTTTATCATTTCGACGATCGTACGTTTTGCGCACGATAAGCGTGTTAACCCCGTTGCACCCTACCTCGCGAAGAGTCCGCGATATTTCAAGCCTCAGACCTCTAAGGGTACCTCAGCAACCCCGACACTCAACGTTTCCTTCGCGGTGTCTTTTGCGAGCGGATAACGCTCGCCGCGCGACGATGATATCGCGACGCTGGCTCAGTTTTTTCGCTTGAAGTCTACGTACACCGCGCTACCCTCGCATGTAACATCCCTATCTTCCCCGAAAGTCGCGCGCCACAAAGGTATCCAGCTGTCTGTCCGCTTGAAGAAAGGAAAGAAAAGGAGGAGAGGAGGAGAAAAGAATTCAGAGAGAGAGAGAGAGAGAGAGAGAGAAAGAGAGAGGAAGAGAACACGGTAAAAAGAACGATCGCGGAGACGACTTTTGATATTTCCTGCCCTTACCATTAGCCAAGCAGGACTCGAGCCGGAGCGGGGGTTAGTGCGGTGGATGCGAGGAAAGCCTCAGGAAGCTCTAACTCACGGGCAAAGGGGCAACCCACCCTGTTCGACCGTGCCGGCCCCTGCCATTAACATTAACCGAGCACATACAGGGTGTTTGCAATGGCATTATCGATCGGTGGCGGGGTGAAAAAAGACCAGCGAATCGAGCACTTTGTACGATACGTGCAGGAAACGCCTAGTTTACATTCACGAAAGCCGGCTAAACGCCGATAGACTCGTCCTCGTCGGTTATACACGAGGACCTTGTGCGTGATAAGCGTTCACCTGACGCCAAACCCTGCTGAAGACATCGCCGAGGACGGATATTATTTTTAACGCGACATACGTTCGCGCGTTCACACGGGGGGGAGGTCTCGTTAAGGGGAAGCGGAACTGTCGGCGGCCGAGAAAAGCGTCAACATCGGGAAACGTAATTTTTACGCCGGGCACGTAGCGGACCGCTTTTCCATCGGAACGCTTTCATCGCGCGCTCGTCCTTCCTGTCTGCAAAACGTCGTTGTCGTGCGCGAAGGAACGAAAATCGTCGGAGCGGGAACTTTAACATGACAATGCGCGGCGGATCGCGATCAGTCAAGTACAATGTATCGATGTTTCTCGCACGATTGACACCGCGATCTCCCGTTCAACCATCGGAAACTTTACGCATGAACGAAGAGCTGCGACATCACTCATGGCGGTCATAGGAAGCGGAACAACGGCGATGACCGTCGTTAGGAGTGTGTCGCCTGGAGTACGAATAAGATAGCTCGCGACATTGCCGTTTCGCCGAGAGGATCGAACGCGCGTGTTCAAAACGCTAAAGTAAGATCTAACAGCGTCGCTTCCGCTCCACTCCGATCAAATTTAAATACAAACGAACGAGTATAAAAGCATCGTTAATCTCCTTATTTATTTTCATTTCGTCTCGCTATTGTTGCGAAATATTATCGCACACACGGTCGCATTGCGATTGTTCCCACGAAAAATTCCCACCGCATCTCCGAACGTCTGTCAGTTTCATTCGCGAGCGAGGCGTCTCGGACGGACAATTTCATCGGGAGCGTAAAAATAACTGCGAGTTTTACACAGCCGATGACGAAACGGAATTCTATTAAACCAAAGCATCGATTTTGCCGCCGCCGCGGTAGCGCGTCGATAGCGCGCGAGTTGGTTAACGAAGGCGGCGATAACGATACATTATTATCGCGATACGTATGAATATATGCCGCCCCATGCCCGAGCTGCCCTTTGAAAATCGTATACCAGGCACGTGTCCGGCCTGTCGCGCCCCCGTTGTTACTCCACCGCGTGGATCAGATAATTTTCAGTACAAGCAGATACGGCTCGCCATTCGCACGGCGAGCCGATCTCTCACACGGAGAGAGATCACGCGATATCGCTGATATATTAATCAAACAAATTGGACATTTCAACCGTGTCATCGACCGACCGCCACGACGATTTTTCGCAGACGCGAATTCGCCGTTCATACCTCCTTTCTCCCCCTTCCCCTTATCCGCTTTTCCCGGAGGAACAACAATCTCACGTAAGGTCGAATCTCTCTTTCTCTCTCTCTTCCTCCTGGTAACGGCACTAGCTTGAAAATATATCGCGCTGGGACCTCGATCGCGCGGATCGATTTATTTTCATCGCCGTCATCCCCGCGCGTATTCGCTCTCTCTCTTCCTCGGAATAACTCGCCGGCGCTACAGCCGAAAGCCGTGTCGCGCGTGGAAAATCGCTGACGGCGGCGCCTGATCGCGCTTTAGGGATAGCGTGTATTTTGTTATTATTACCTTTCAGCGCCTTCCGCGAGCCCGAAGAAGGCGCAGCACCTCGCCTTACTTACCTACCCCTATCCACCTATCACCCCGCTCGACACGATCGACGACGCGCGCGCCGATCGGCGTCAATCCATTCTCGCAGTCTCTCCGCGAACCGCTTATCGCGCACCGGTATCCTCGGCATCAATAATAATAAAAGCACCGTGGGATATCGCGCGTCTCGTATGACGCTCCACGGGAAGCCTTCCGCCGCTTCCCACCTACGCTCGCGAGCACGAAGCGGGGTAAGGCCGAAGGAGAGAGAGAGAGAGAGAGACCAGGAGTAGAACGAGGGTGGAGAAAGACGAGCAGAGGGACGGAAGGAGACAGAGAAGGCGAGAGAGAGAGAAAGAGGGAGGGAGGGAAGGAGTGAAAGAGAAAGAGAGAGTCTGGTGGATGATCCCGCCTCTAAGGAGCCGCTTCGCGTCGGAGAGCTTGTCCGGGGGTGAGCGGGAAACCCCCCGCGTCCTCTTCTCCCTCTCTCTCTCCGTTCTCCACCCTCATCGCCACCCTCTCCTCTCTGTCTCTCGCCCGTTTCTCTTTCTCTCTCTGTCTCGGGCGCGTGCTCGCTTTTCCCCCCGCGGAGAACGTACCGGGCGCAGGCTCCGATACAGCCAATCGTCGGACCGCGACTGATAACGACGCTGCCAAATGTGCGTCCGTCGCACCGCGACCGAGTTCGCCACGGTGGTCCACGCGCGCTGACAAACTCTCGGGATATCCTCGCGAGCGAGCGAAGCCGCCGAAACCACCTCCTCCGTAATCCCGCCGTTGTCCCGCGCGGATATATCCGACACCGGAGCCTCCTCGTGTACCACCACGGTTCGTAAGGTGTTCCTCGCTCGTCGCCCCCGATATCGCGATATTTTCAGTGCCGCGAGGTCGCTTCGATTCCCCTGGGGAAAACCCGTGGCCGGTCGACCGGTAACAAGGACGACACACACACACACACACAGTGCTCGAAGACAGAGTGAGAACGTCGTGAAAGGCGTCGTCGTCGTCGGTCTGTTGACGGCCAACACGCCGGGGAGACGTCGGGAAACCTCGGGAAAATTCAGCGTGCTCTCTCTCTCTCTCTCTCTCTTTCTCTCACGAGCTCGAGACGAAGTGCGGGCGGAGCGGTTCACACCTGCCTGCGGTGTTGCACACCGGCGGTTTCGGCCGGCCGGCGATCGACACCATCGCGGGGGGAATATCTCTGGGGATCGAGCTGGATCGGATAGTGCCGGACAAGACACCACGTAGGCCCCCGCACTGACGGTAAGAGCGCGACGTCTCGCGATAGGCCGCCGTTCGTATTCGCGGTCCCGGCCGTGGATCGCTTTTTGTACGACGAACGGGGGTCCGCCGAAAGCGACGGAAGCACGAGGAGGCGGAGAGAGAAGGAGGAAACCGAAGATTGTCGGCCGCGCGCTTCCGTCGCGCCGCGACGCGGTCTCTCTCGCCGATGGAACAATATCGATAACGCCGAAAGCGACCGCGCGATCGTATTGTGCCGTGTGTGTACGCGGATTTATGACGACCCGCCCTTTTTCCGAGCGCGTTTCCTCGCGAAATCGGAGCTGAAGCTACCTCACGTCCGCTCGTTCGTTCAAAGCCGTCGCGCGTCTGTCAACATTGACGACGACGCGTTATTGCCACGGCGCAAAGGAGTAAATAAAGCTCAATAAATGTCGGCGTAGTGCGGTGGGTATGTAGAAATAAAAAGAAAATGCACAAACAATCGGAACTCCATCTTACAGGAGCGGAAACGAATCTCACACGTAAGCGAAAACGCTCCGACGTCGCAGAGCGCGTCGGAGGTGATACAAACCTTGCGACTCGTTCACGGAGTCTTACGCATGACGTATACACGCGTCTCCGCGTCTGTCGCCACGCACGTTTTACGAGCTAAACGGCGGGCGCACGCATTGACCAACGCGAAATTACCGCGCGTGTTCGCCGCGCTGTACGTCGTCCCCTCGCTTCACTGTGTTACGCATCGTGGTCACCGGTGGTTTTCTCTCTCTCTCTCTCCTTTTTACTCTTTCAACAGAGAAATGCAAATTTTACGTTAATTTTGCGGGGAGAAATGAGGCCGTACACTCGTACGCCCGTAATTCAAAATCGGTGCGTTCCTATCGGTAAAATCGAGCGTCGCAAAATTCATTCTCTCTCTCTCTCTCTCTCTTATTACTTATTGTAAAACTCCTCTATCATCTCGCTTATTTATTTATGTAATTCTTAATTTTTCGTCATTACACAGGACTGGCCTTACACGGGAAAAAATATTTTACTGGCATAGCAAGTTTCACAGTTGCCGTGCAGACCGCAGAAAGATTTGTTATATGGACGAAATAATTTTACTGTCGTAGCAAAATGTTCAGTTGGCATAACTAAATTATTTTGCTGTCCATATGCTGTCCATATATCCAGCAAACAACAATTAACACTTGATAAATCTTTTTACCGTCCCGATAAATCTTTTTGCTGCTTCAAACAAATCTTTTTGCTGTTCGTACAGCAACTGAGAAATTTGCTGTGCCAGCAAAATATTTTTTTTCGTATAGGAAAATAATGACCGCTCTAGAACAATAATATATGCTTCTCTCTTTTTCTCTCAGAATTACGATTTCGTTGTGCACAATCTGCGTTGCGAAATCGACGACTCGTGTTTTTCTTACTTTCCACTCATCGGTCTTGCATGTTTTCGATTCTTCGCTAAACTCGCGCTATGCGCGAGTATTCCTCTCTCCCTCTCTCTCTCTCTTTCCTCGTAATTACGAGCGCAGACCGGTTTTTCCTAACGAGACTTCGCGCACTCGACGAGGAATAAGGATCGCGGCGTCGAGACGCGGCCGTCGCATCGGCGAGCGTTTTCCCGGGTCCGCGCGCGACTCGGCTTTTTCTCCCTCTCGCGTGCAATCGCGCGCGCCTATGTCGTCCGCGACGGTGCGTTTAAATGGTGTGTGTAGATATATATATATATATATGCGACGAGAGTTTAGACGAGGTAGGCAGAGGGGTTTCCGGCGAGCGTTAACAGAGTAACAGAGTGATGTAATGAGGCCCGGAAGCAGGCAATTTGCTGCTCGCGGCGGCCGCAGTTGCGCGAGACAACCTGCCCGGAGTACCTTCTTCTTGATACCGCGGTCCAGCCTCCTCCGGACACCTATCGTCTCGGACGCTCGCGCCGATAAGCGGCTCTCGATTGTTAATTTAACGGTGCGCGAAAAGTGGTGCCGTGCTGACGGGAAAGCCGGGGTAAAGAAGAAGACGAAGACGGGAGCGTTCGCTGTCGGTGGCCGTGAGCGCGCGCGAGCGCGAGAGAGTGCGCGTTCAGAGTGCGAGAGAAGACGGGAGGAAACGATCTCTCGATCGCTGGCGTTCGACGGATCGACGATTCGTTAATTATTTCGCGCGATGACGACGAAAGCGCGGCCGTTCGACGACGTTCGTCTCGCTCGACGTCACGAATGAGTGAATTATGCGCGACAATAGGAGCCGCACGATTGGCGTAAGGTACGTTTTTTTTCTTTTTTTCACGCGCCTGTACACGGCATACGCGCGGATTATAAGGAGCCCGTGGAAATAGCGTAAAAATGGCGACCGCCCGAGCGCGGTATCCGCGGTATCCGCGACACGACGAGCGATCGATCGTTCGATTCGGCTTTTAAACTGTCGAACACACGAGCGCAAAGGCACAATCCGGTATTGAGCGCGCGCGCGTTCTCGCTCGTTCGTTCGCGCTCATCGCCATTCGCGGAACATCGCGCGGCTGTGTGACAGTTTTGTGATTAGATTGACCTCAATACTCACTGGACATCCGGATGTACCCACGAGTGCTTTATCCTTAACCATCCCGATCGAATGTCAGCGCGTGGCTCACAATATCCACCGACGACGCGAGGACAACTCGCGACGGGAAAAGAGAATTTCGCCATGTTTCTGTTCCGTCTCTCTCTCTCTCTCTCTTTCTCTCTCTTTCTTCCTCTTTCTCTCTTTCCCTCTGTTGTCTGTCCTTCGCAAACGAGCTCCCCGTTGATATTCTGAAACGTTCGTCGGCGCGCCAAGAGTGGTATCCGCGAGATTCCGCGGATCTGTCCGCGAAAAGTCGTCACCGTGACTGAAGGTAAATTAGAGAGCGAGAGATCGAAAAGGATCAGACGCGACACAACAGAAAAAATCGGGTACGTGTAGCTAACGCCATCTGTACGCAGCGAGCCCTATATATTTATAATATGAAATCTGCATCGAGCGATTACCTACGTTCTCGGGAAAGTAATGGAGGACGGAGAGAATCCCGACGGCGGTTTTCCGCGCGAAATAAAGGCGCAGGATCGCTCGTTGCTGAGTACTCGGTTCTCAGGTAGGCCCGGTCCACCCATGAAATACGACTAATTCGATGTACGCTTTCGAACGCTCGGAGAAAGTGATAGCGCGCGATATCGACGAGCTCGGACATGAGGAGGTTATGTTGCCGGCGTCGAACTGTAATCGGCGCGATCGGCAAAACGTACGGAAAAAACGGGAGGGGGAACAAATGAAAAATAATGTCACGCGTGTACTAACGTCAACTCTTGCGTGAATGCGGAACTCCTGTTGAAAATAGCACAAGAGAGAGAAAGAGAGAGAGAGAGAGAGAGAGAGAGAGAGAGAAAGTCGCGCACGTGTTAGCGCGAGTTACACGTGAATCGACAACATCGTCCGGGTAACATCATTCCGTTTGAATAATGATTTATGTAATACGGGAAGGGATAGCGGAAGTGGGAGATTTTGAAGATTAGACGGAAGCGGACTCGCGATAAACGACAAGCTTCAATATTGTAGCCGTTCTCTTATCTCCGCGCGTTCTCTCTCTCTCTCTCTCCGTTCGGAATTACCGAGGAGATACGATCGCCTCATGCAAATCCCATTCCGCCGGATCGCTTTCGCAATTTTGACGATCGTAAGTTCGAGGCCACGCCGATGATGTATGTAGATGACGGCCGTCTAACCTGGCGTCGATCCGTTCTCGAGATTACGCGATCTCGACGGCCGTTTTTCGTAATTACGCGTATGTACGCCACGATGTGTAACCGATAATTCAATGACGCGTCCCTTGGAAAACATATGTACCTTTCTCTCTCTCTCTCTAGTATTTTTCACGTCTCCGCTCATTGTCGTTGATGTATCGCGAGAAAGGGCACGAAGGAACACGAAACAGCGCGAAGTGGTGTCACGAATAATTTCGGAGAGCGCGAGAGAATCTCACCGCCGCGTCGATGCGACAATTCTGTTCGAACGTCATCATCTCGTGTCTTGCGTCTCCGTACAGTGCAGCAATTCTGTATTACAGGGGCTCTTTGGTGATGTACGACAGCGCTAGCTGTTCGTACGCAGGTGCGCTCGAATTAAAGGGATCCTCCGGGGCCGCCGGAGCCGCGGCCGCGGCCGCCGGAGTAACCGCGGCCGGCGTCAAGCAGGAAAACTGGCCGTACCGCGGTCTCACCTGCGGTAGCACGTTTCAACGGCTCAAGGAGAGCGTCGACAAGGCGAAGCAGGCCCTCGCCGATCGCGGGGGTTACCTGGCGGGTGCCTTTTCACCGCCCCCGCGTGCCAATCCATCCGCCATTTCGCCCACAGCCTCCATCACCGGTAAGCGAAGTTTTCCTCTTTTTCTTTTTATCCCCGTGAGGGATTTGCCCTCGTCGTCGTCATCGCCTTAACGGCGGAAAACGCACTCGAACGACTTTTGACTTTCTCTGCGAGAATAGAGATAGGTTCGGGAAGAAAAGCAACGGTTGCGCCTTCTTCTCTCGATTTCGTCTAATAGTATCAATTCCAGGCACACGATCACCCTGACTGTTACCTAGATGTTCGAATCTGTTGAGTATTATCTTTCGAATTACCCAAGTATTTTCATATTTGGACACTCGAGTATTCAATTGTTTATTCCTCTTATTTATTTTCCCTCTTCGAATCATTCTATGCATAAAAGAAACATAAATAGAATGAATAACAAAAAGTAGATATTGTACACAATAATAAATTTTTATATCAGAATATGTGCCTCAAAATATATAATATATGAAATATTTAACTAAGTATTTACTTTGTAATTACGCAAAGAGAAACCACATACGATTGCTTTAAAAAGTTTGTATTATTTCGGATATCTGCGTATAGAAATGCCCGAGTTATATATTGACAGCGGTAGAATCTAGACTTCTGCAAATTTAATTCACTTTTGGACTTATGCCAATCCTAATTTGTACATCATATATCCAACTTATAACTCATACCCGCATCTCATTCGTGATTCATTTACCCGAATTATTCGACGATTGTGCTAAGAATGATCAAACTCCAATTTTATTATGAATTGTAACTCTCAGTTTCTCAATGACCCTACTCGATCCCAAAAGCGAACTAACGCATGTCTCGCCAAAGATGTAATGAAAAACGCTTTACGAACGTTCCTCTTCTCCAATGAACGGGCAGCGGTTTTGTCTACGTTTTTTTCACACGGACTCAATCGGTTTCGTCTGCCTAGGCGCTCCTCCCGCGCGAAAGTCGTCCGAGTGTACGTCCGGAAATATTAACAGGCGAGATTCGATATTTCTCCGACGTCGGGAACGGCAGGTGTGAGATACGCACGAGAGTATAACTCATTGCCGCGGCGTGCTGAAATAGTTTGCCGTAACGCCGAGCGTAAGGTCACGCACGGAAGGCCGCGTGCGAAAGACACGCAAACTGATTACGCGCGGGTTTATACCGCGGCGTAAGTACCGCGGAGATATCATCGATCGCTTCTAATATGCGTCGCGATGACGTAATGCGGTTAATAAGAGCAAGGGCCTCGCGTTTGCCCGCGCTATTTTCCCACAATGATAATGGCGCGCGCGCGACGTTAAGATTTTGGCGAGAGAGAGAGAGAGAGAGAGAGAGAGAGAGCGAACGCGCACGTTCAACGACGCGCGTTCAACGCATGTCGCGCTTCTGTGTTCGCGCCGTAAAAATGTCGTATCCTGCCGCTTCTCCGAGCAGCCGTCAAAATTCGTGTCAAAGTTCACGTCAAAATTCATATAAGACCTCTCCGAGCGGGATCTCTCGCGACGGCGGTGCTCTCAACGTCCTGCGTCCTGCGTTCTGCGAACGATAACGGAACGATGTCTCCCCCCGCGAAATCTCGAAGACGAAGAATCGTCTCGCAATCTCTCGTGCCGGGAAAGATACGAAAAAAAGGAGAAAAAAATAAGAGAAAAAGAAAGCAAGAGAGGGCAACGCGCGCTCGCGAGCCCGCGCAATAATTTGTCATCTAGCAGCAACAGCAGCAGCAGCAGCCGGCGGGCTGACTGTTGCTCTTCGTTGTCGCCGATTTCCGATTGCTTTTTTAAAGCGCCGGTCGCCGAGGACATTAATTACCCGGCCAGTGTAAATCACGTTATCTACCGCCCACGCCCGCGAGGGCCGCGAGGAAGCGGCGGAGCGGAAGGGGAGAACGACGGAGGATGAGGAGAGGTGTAAGAGGAGGAGGCGCAGGAGGAGAAGGACGTGGGACTGCAGGAGGGGTCGGGGGGGGGGGACTCGAATACGGTCGGGGGNCGGGGGTAGTAGTATTGCGCGCGAGGGTGTTGCACCGTTGCCAGCCGAGCAAAACGCTCGTCCGACTGCTCTCCACGGCCGCAGCAATATCCTGCTCGCAGTGGCCGAAATTTATCGGCGACTCGAAACTTTCGTCTCTCTCTCCCTCTCTCTTTCTCGCGCGCATTTAACGGCGCGGTCCTCCGCATTTACCTACCCATCTACCTACGTACCCATGTAGGCGAGTTCGATCGATCTCCCGCAGCGTTTGGATCGCGCGTCCCTGGATCCCGATTGCGGATGTTGGTCGCGTTAGCTCCGTGGTTTTTCGCTCCCGTCTTGTTACACGCTTTCCGCAGCTGTTGGTTAATTCATCTCGCGCCGGTCGGCAGCAAGGTCAGCGCGTTATTCCAATGCCGGCGTTATCACGATCCCGTTATCGCCGCAGTTTCCTAAATCTTTTCGTCCTTCCTGCTGCGGAGCGGGAATTAACGAATATCGTGTAATGACGTGCAATCGTGCGTGTTAGCGTACGATTACCACCACCCTTCAGTTACAATGGTGGCCGGCGGTGTTGTGGAATCCTCAGTAGTATCGGCGACAATCGCGCCCCGAGAGATCGTCTCAAAATTTTGACGGGGCTCGTAGGGGCTCGAGACAAGATGGTGGGTCGATGATGGCGGCGGGTAGTTGCGAAAATGTAGAATGACGAGGGAGGAGCGGTTACAGGGTTAGCCGGGAGCGTATCCATGACGACCGACCGCCCCACGTACCCGCTACCCTCGGAGATCCCGGATGCTCCCCTCGGCATCCCAGCATCCCACCTCCCTCTTCCCGTCACTCGTCGCCGTGGTCCTCCTCTCCCTGCCGCTCGACCACCCTCGGCAACCCTCTATGGCTCCTAGGCTGACTCTATCTACCCCTATCTGCGGCCCGCTTCGCTCCGGGGGATGCACGGCTACTTAGATTTTAAGTCGGGCCATTTCGTGCCGCGCACCTATATCTAACCCGGCTATAATTCTCGCGAGATTCAGACACGCCGACAAAGGAGTCTGGATTCTCCGTGAAATTTCAGCTCCCGAGGTGGAGCGCACGCACGCGCTCGCTCGCGCGACAGAATTTCGACGCGAAGCACAAATTTTCGCGGCCGCACAAAGGCACCGCTGGAAATTAAAATCGTCCGTTCCTTCGTTGCGCCGGCGGTATCCCGCGGTGATATATATATCTTCACGTAGTATTTTAGCTGTATCGTAACTCCTGAGTAATGGAACGTTGAGTTAAAGTCGGGCTTTTCAACACCGATGACGACGACAACGTACGACTCTCGTTACAAACATGCGTATACACGTGCGCACCGATCTAAGCCAACCCCCCCCCCCCCC